TATGGCTTTATTATAAAAAAAATCCGACACTCCTCCATAACGGGTGGAACCCCGTTTGTCATGGGTGGGAAGCGTATGAATTTTTTATATGAAAAGGAGCTTTTAGTGTGGTCCATATTAACCCTGGAAGGTTATAGTTCGTCGTTTCGACGACGCGAGTTTTTATTTTACCGTTATCGCTGTTGTCCTTTGTTTGTATAGTGCTAATTTTTCGTACAGTGCTAGTTGGTGTGGTGCTATTGATGTGTGCGGTTACCTAGATTCATGCGCTTCGTGTAAGTACTTATTTTTTTAAATGTGCGTAGTCAAAACGACGAAGGATGAACTTTGTGTATGTTTTACGTTTATGTTTACAAAGTAATTTTCTTAAGTTTTTTTTATTTGTTTATATATTTTACTTGTGCAGTTATAATACACGATCAATGCAACCAAAAGTTATACCGACGAAGAAAAAAAAAATTGCGCAATTTTTCCCCGTTCTAAGCGACGCATAACAAATCACCCTGTGCAAAATGCCAAAAAAGTCTCTGTGGAGAGCATAAAATAGAGCTTTACGCCTCTTGCACAAAATGAGAACTGTCGTATCTGAAAATTGTTTCCTTTTTTAGTTCATAGTATTATTATTAAGAAAGAAACACTTTAAATGAATTATATGTACTTTAAGTTATTTATATTTTCTAATTAATGTTTTGTACAAAAAGCCAAATGAATCAGAGCTGTGAAATCTTGAATTACAATCAAAAGACTAAAGAAAAACTACTTGATATTGTTTTATTTTAAAAAAATATAAACAAAATAATGTGAAAATAATAAAATTTTTTGTGCATTTCGATACACAGGTTAATTAAATAACGCCTTTTAGAAATGCCGTCGTCGAATCGACGAAGGATGACCTTTGCGTTATAAAAATAACGATGACCTTCCAGGGTTAAAGATTAGAAATTAAAAAATATAAGAAGCCAAGTAAAGATTCAATTTACTCACGTTTTATCTTAGCCTAGTGCCTTTTATATAGAAGAAAATGTCTAGAACCGTCAGCAAAAAAAAAATACTAAAAATCAACGTGATTTCCTAGCGTCTTGAAAATTTAC